GCTGCTTCAATCCTACTAGGATAACAAAATAGTTATAAGTCTAATGCATTTCAAACAAAAATTGCCTTTTGGAGTGTTAATTTGTAATACCGCATTTTTCCTAAAATAAAACTCATTAAGCCAATGTACTGCAACTGTTTAAGCATAAACAATAGAACAGCACAATAGAAATGTTTTTATTAGTGCTTCATTAAGCAACAGGGAGCAACACCCCTCTAACAAAGAAAATATGGTATCATGGCTTAGTTTAAATAAAGATCTTGCTATGTATGGGTTTTTCCCCCTTAAGTTTTCATAGTCTAGGCATGAATATGTGAGTTATGTAGACTTGATTTTGGAACCAAGAATAAACTTTCTCAACTACTCCCTATTATAGGAAAATATATATAATATAGATCTTAAATGTTAAGATCCAAATTAATATGTTGCGACATAGGAGTAGGTAAAGGTATAAAAAGCATGGCTCTCCAATTATTTCATTTTTCCTTTTGTCTCAGGCAGTGAGCTCACCAAAATTGGCGCAGATATAGTTGGATAGGCTTAAAGCTTCTCAAAGATAATCAACATGTAATCAAATGGTTGGGCAGAAAATGTACTGTAAAGACAGTTCAAGAGTCAGTCAAGCATATACTTTTTTTGTTTTTGCAGTAATTTTATTAAAGTTTGCAATTAAAAGATAAAGGCGAATGCGAACTAAAATTAAAAGAATAAAAAGAAAAAAGTGTAGAACAGAGAAAAATAGAAAAAAATAAAAATATAATTAAGAAAAAATATTTAATAAATGACTTCCCTTTTCATCGCAATAAATACAAACAACTTTAATAATGTATTACTTCTCTTAAAATTCAACAAAAGATCTTTTCCCCATATTTCTTCTCTTATCTATAAAGCTTAAAGCTTCATCATACAGTCCTAGTCACCAATAGTCCACTAAGGGTTATCAGAGATAACAAATCTATTTTAATCTTGATGAAATAAACTGACTATCATCTTAATCTTTAATCCCTTCAAATAAGTTTTGTATTTAAAACTTATTTCACTAAGGATTGAAGGAAACTCACCTAGTACTATAAAAAATTATCATCCTGAAATATCTTAATATCTGAAAAACAATTAACAAATAATTTCCAAAAGTGATTAGAAAAGGAAGCATGCAGCTCTGTTCCATAAAGGCTGTAGCTGTAGTTTGGGCAGAAATGGCATTCCCTCATCTTCCAGAGCCAAAGTCTGGTATCTTCCGATCTCTGTGTGAAGAAAAACTGTATGGAGCACTTTGGGCGATCCTGTGACCTTTTCTTGTCCAGAGACTATTTAGAAGAGCCAATCTACTTGCTGGCTTTTCATTCCACCATTGTCACTTCTACTTTTAAAGGAGCCATTCTCAGTTTGCTGTTTCTTCTCCATATTTACATCTGGGCAGTAAATATGTGATTATCTTTCATTTAAGGGTTTTGATTAGGGAGAATTATGAATGGTAAAATAAATTTAAGACTTTGTGGATATGAGAAAGATTTGAAAAAATCTAAGACCACCACCATATGACAACAAAGATGTAGAGGATGCAAAATCTTGCCACACAGATCTGGTATCTGTGGAAAACATAAACAAGTTCTCTGCTTCTCCAGATTATTTTTTTCCCCTGCCGGTCATGTAATATGTTCTCTGTGCAATTGCCTTTTTCACCTGCTAATTGCTCTGAGATTAGATTAAGTTACTGTTACAAGGAACAAGGTTCTTGAAACAAAGTGGCCAATTATTATGAAACTGGATGTAGTTGCATTATTAAAGTCTTTGAATAGTGCTAAGTCTTCACTTACCTCTGAACTGTAATTTAATTATGATACTAAATAGTTGTGAGGGCATACATATGCCCTCTTTCCACTCTTCATAGCATGGTTTCAGGTTGTCAGCATCTATCTTTAAAATAGGAGTCCCTAGTATATTCCAAATGGGATGCAGAGGTTATTCTGCTTAGATGAACAATGATTGTTCAAACTGCAGTTCAGTTTCCCTCAGTTGGGACATAACAATGGAATTGTAGTAGTTTGGAAATTGCATCTTGTTCTAAATTTTTATTTCCCATAACAATGAGAATATGTTCAAGGAAACCATTATGTATATTTTGTGTTACAAAATGTTCCAAGACAACCAAAACAGGCACCATATGAAGAAATAGTCACAGCAGTACCCAAACTATAAACAATCTCTTTCAGAGGTTATGTTTATGTTGAACGAGGAATACCATAAACTAATAATTATGTTATTAAATGTCCTTCTCAAAAGGATTAGCACCACTGGATTTCTAGTGCCATTTTAGATAAGTTGTCAAGATGTATGTAAGGATTAATGGTATTAATAGTTGTAGAGTTTCTACAAAACCAATCGAGTAACATTCCTTAACACCAGGTCAGGGCTTATAATGGGCCATCTGAAGTCTGTTCCATAATCCTATATAAAGTTAGATTAAAATGGACAATCTATTGCACTCAGAAATATCTGGAGCCAAGACACTACTCTATACAGAGCCTTGGAGGCTATTTGTTTATTTAAACAATTATAGACTGTCCAAATCCTGAACAATTTATAATTAAAAGGTTTTTTTTTTATAATGTACAACATTCAGAAAAACATGAACACCCCTAGAAACAACAAGAACTGAACAAAATCCATCCAGCATGGACTCAATCTTTGCTCTTCCCCAGAGACTGGGAAAATAACCAGTTTTTTAATAGGTGAGGGTGAAAGTTCATTTTTAATAGGTTCTTGAACACCTTCAGGGTGAGAGCCATCCAGATCTCTGAACAGATTACTCTTCCTCTTGCCTTCCAAATATATTGGATTTCAGTTTCAGTGTATTTTATTATCTTGCAGAGGCATAGATATGCATTTTCAATCTCATTTTGATTAATGTTGAAACTCTTATGCACTTTTAGGTGACATACAATCGAGCTGCATGCTAAAGTGATGTTCACTGCTTTCATTAACCATTTCATTGTTCTCCTTGTCTTTATAAAGAAGGAAAGGCAAGGGTCAAGTTCATATAAAGGTGGCTATAATTCTCCAAGGAACCTGATTACATTTATGGATTGTGTAAACTGAAAAGTTCTCTTATTATAAATACATCGGTTGGCTGTTTAATAACTACCGGTTTTCTGATTGATTTATTGACTAGACTTGTATCCTCCCACAATCAAATAACTCTTAGTGTACAGTATAATAATTAAAACATCTACAGTGAACACTAATCAGTACAGCCCAACACACCAATGGAAAGAAGAATCAACAACAAATAAAACCATACAATTCATTGGTATATTATCTTGTTATAGTTTGTACTATATTCAAATGTGAAAAGATGCTCTTGAACATTCTGCCATGTTCTCAACTCATTTCTGCATTTTGGAAAATGAAATCAAAGAGGATTTTTTTAAAGAAAAAATGCTTGCTAAAATGCTAAGAAATTTTGTAAGGCACATTGAGAAGTTATTCAGACATATAATTTTTTAGTGTGGATCACTTTAATTACCTTCTTCCACATCCATAAAATGTGCAAATTTCAGTCATGAAGTCAAAGCATTCACTCAAGGGTGATCTTTATCAAAACAATTTGGGAAAACTTAAGTTATCAGTTGTTTCCCTGGGCCAGAAAGCTCAGGAATGGAGAGCCTATTATGTCTAGAATTCCATCCTTCAGAAACTCACATTCAAAATAAGGTGAGGATATCTAGTGTATATTATAATATCATAATAGACCACTAAAGTTCTGTATCTTTCCCTGCTGTTATGTAGAGAATGCAGGCAGAGAAACCTAAAGAGTCAGGGCCTTTTCCAGTCTGGTCTGTGATCAACTGTTTTCCTATTCATTGGGTGTTCAGCAGCAGATGTTTCAACCCATTGACTATTGTCAAACACTTACAGGTTTTTTGTTTATTTATTGTTTTATCATAGAGAATAAATTACAAAACAATAAAACAAACCAACAAAATGAAACAAAACAAAAGCATACATTCAACCCTAACAAAAAGGAAAAAGAAAAAAATAGGGTACAAACGAAGAAGAAAAAGTGGTCAATTAAATTTAACATTGAACATGTAGGACCCACCTGGGCTGGGTGCTGAAAGAAAAGAAAAAGCAGTAAATTCTCCTCCCCTTTTACAACAGGTTTTTGAATTAGGAAACACTTTGCAAGCATTCAACTTAATCCTGTTGCACATTTTGAAAAGCCATAATTAGGTCATTTGGCAGATAGTAACATTCACCTGAGCAATAGGATCTAGTTTCATTCCTCTCTCTAGTTTGAACTTGAGAAGTGCAGTAATTAAAATAATTGCAATTATAGTTATTATCCTCAGTTGCTCTTCTATTTTGCTTCAGTTAACATTAACAGAAATAATTTCCCATGTTAGTGTAACTCTTACATCAGCGGTCCCAAATCATAAATTCCCTTTGCAATTCCCTTTTCACCACAGTTTACAAAATTGTATAGTTCTTAATCATAACATTTATATGTGAGATAGAGGAAAACAAATTATTATACAAATATATATATAAGGGAGAAAAGGGCTTTAAATCTTATCACCCTTGCTGGTAAATAATAACTATAATTATTAAAATCCAGGATAGTATGTTATAAATTTCTATTGTACTTACCTGTTGTTCTTAAACTTACATTTTTGATTTTTATGAGCACTTTAAGGAATCAAAATTAGTAAGAATCAAAATTATCAAAATTACTGTATCTTCTTTCAGTGCTTAATCTTTATAATATAGAATCATAATTTTTGCTTGAGTAGAGGAGCTAATCAAATCACGGTGTATTCGGTAACTGTGTATTGGATTATAATAGGATATTTTAATTCAGTTACACTAATTTGTTAGTCTACTGAGACAAAGAAGAGCTCTTCACTAAACCCAGTTCCATGTTGAAATGTACCATCTTTTCTCACCAGTATTTTTTTGCTTTGAACTATATTTTTAATCACAGCTTTGTTTCTTTACAGTACATCAACTGTGGTAACCTGGAACAATTGTTAGATAGTAATCTGCACTTGTCCTGGACAGTGCGAGTAAAGCTGGCATTGGATATTGCTCTCGGACTCAGTTATCTTCATTATAAAGGAATTTTCCACAGAGATTTGACTTCCAAGGTAATGTTCTTCTATTTGATTGTATTTGCTGGCAGCAAATTTTTTGGAATTCTTTTGATCTCTTTATCCCTTCTCCAAGCTTATTATCAGATGAAAGCAAACTGCAATTGTGAGTTAAGAATTATATTTCCAGGAAAATAGATGTAAAATTAAGTTATTTGGTGCAATGTTCTTATAGCTTTCTAACTTCTATAACACTCTAGGGCAGTGGTGGCGAACCTATGGCACGGGTGCCAGAGGCGGCACTCGGGGCCCTCTCTGTGGGCACGCGCGCCGTAGCCCCAGTCCTAGGCCTTCAGCTGGGTTTTATAAAACCTTTTCGCTTTAGGCCTCCGCCGTCGTGTGCAAAAAAAAAAAGGTTCAATCAATCAGTCAATTTCAAAAGTCACTTCCCAACAGTACATAGCAAAAGAACACAATTGCTTATAACTCCTAGAGCTTTGGATTAAACTAACCAAGAGTTTAAGAAATCACTGTACCATTTATGATAAATATCTTTTTCACAAATTCTAAATATGGTTCTTTATTGAACCTTAATAAAATAGTACTTTAAATAATTCCTTTGTAATATTTACAAATCAAACAACAGTCTTATGTACTAATGGAGAGAGGGAAACAAACGACTATCATTAAATCATTGAAGCTACCTACAAAAAGGTAGTTTCAAGTGTGGATTTTTATCACGTTTTTAACATTGCAGTATGATTAATGTTATTCCTTTAGGATTTATGTACATTTTGCAGTGAACAAATATTCAATCTCAAATAAACTAAATGAATACATTTGTTTAATTAGAAATAACAATAGTCATAGATGAAAAGATTCAAAGTGCATTGGGTAAGCACAGTTCAGGGGGCTTTATGTACAGTTAGAAATCCAAAGTGAGCTGTATATTCTAAAATTCATTTAGGTGAGAATTAATAATATTTAGAATTAAAATCTTTGTGCATAAAAAAATATGCTGAAGTTTTGATAGTATAATGCCAGTTTGGTGTTGTGGTTAAGGCCAGTTGGGTGACTTTGGACCAGTCACACACACTCTCAGTCCAATTCTCCTCACAGAGTGGGTTTTTTTTGGGAAAATAGGATGAGGAAAGAATATTAGGTATGCACACTGCCTTGAGTTATTTGTAAAAATAATAAAGGTGGGATACAAATAAATGAAATGTATTTTCCCAACTTCCATTAAGTTGTTCATGATCAATATTGTTAATATCACAAGATGCCTTCAACATATTCCAATATTCATTCTTGCTTACTCTTAACAGATTATTTATATGCTATGCGCAATATTCAGTACCATTGGAGCAGAAATTATTTAATTGGCGGGAAATAAAGAACAGTACTATACTATGTAGATAGGTCCACAACCTATGTAAATATTTTGAGATCTGGTTATAGGCACTTGGTGAAATGTCTGTCAGATGAAGGTTGCCTTCACCAAATAGCTATTGTAAAGGAAGGGTCAAATAGTAGGCTTACTTTTTGAGCCATGATGGCACAGTGGTTAGGCTACTTCTGCTCACTGCTGACTACCAGGAGTTTGGCAGTTCAATACTCACCAGCCCAAGGTTGACTCAGCCTTCCATCCTTCCAAGGTCGGTAAAAGGACCCAAATTGTTGGGGGCAATATGCTGACACTGTATACCACTTAGAGAGGATTGTAAACACTGTGAAGCGGTATATAAGTCTAAGTGCTATTGCTATATTTTTTACTGCTTCCTCAAGGCCACTTGTTTTCAATCCTTTGCTTACCATTGTTGTATTTACAAACAAAGCACTAGCTACTCCCATTCAGCATTTTTATTTTTTTAAGTCTACCCATGGGGCCTATGTGGAATTGTTCATCAAAAGTTGAGGATGGCACATAGCTTTGCAGCGATTCATTTTTAAAATGCTGTTAATTATTAAATAATCTTTTAAACATTTAAAAGGCAGAATGGGTTAAGAGGTTGGCAGATACTGGTATGTTCATAGGTGGCGGAATCAAAATCAAATTGTTTATTGCAGCAGTATTATAGTGGTACTATGCCTACTTAATATTCATTATTGTTTCTTTGCTTTTATTAGAACTGTTTAATAAAGAATGATGAGAATGGATATTCTGCTATAGTGGGTGATTTTGGGTTGGCAGAGAAAATTCCTGATTATAGGTAAGCATTATTTCTGAGTAAACACCAATTAGAGTTTAATAATATTATAATGTTAAACTAAACAATTGTGAATCACTGATCATTGCCTTCTAAGATTCAGCATTTGACTAAAAAGTCTTTTGGATTATTTATTGAACTGCTTACTTTTTAGCTTTTGAATATAATCATTCTCTATATGCACGAACAGCAGATTTGTGATAGGTAACTGATGCAGATACTAAATGTATTTAAGAGCTATTTTGCAGTTTTAACAGTTTTAAAAAAACCTTGAGAATATCCATTTAGATTTGATTGCCATGTATAAATGATTTGCACACATAGGTATAACTTTGCTTAAACCTTTCACTGTGGCACATAAATATTTTCTTCTTTCAATAGACTTTGTAATATACTTCCTGGTAGAATACCTTTCAGGATTGTGAAATATGTGAAATAATGACAACATTGTCCTACCTATATGCTTTGCTTGGAATGGAATGATAGTCATTCCCTTGCTGAAATTAAAGGGGTTGTATAATATATGAGAAAACACTTCTAATAATTACCTTTCTAAATTTGTTGAAGTGAGAAGTTGCCAGTGGTAGGTTCTCCTTACTGGATGGCACCAGAGGTGCTGAGAGATGAGCCATATAATGAAAAGGTAGGTTATGTTTGAAATAAAATGTTGCAATGTTTACTTGTGTCTAGCATATTTTCTTTTACATAAGATATATTTTCTATTTTTCTTTCTAGCTAGATTACCTCATGAAAATGCTGCTGTCTCTGATAAAGTTGATATACTGTGGAGCAATTGTTTGCTTTCCATATTAAGAATCTAAAATTTTAGATTTTATTTTTAGCTAACATTGGGAACAGTATTATAGGTCCTTATCCATCTTTTGTGAAATATTGTTTTTTAAACCTGTAAATCAAACCTGTAAATCCAATAAGCTGTAGCTTTTAAAAAAAATAATAATAAAAAAGCTGATAAATATTTTTCAAGTTTTATAGCTCCCTCTAATGATAAAGCAACAGTACTGCAATCTTTTTCTTAGCTGGTCGAATTTTGGGTGCCATCAGAAATTTAGAAATGATGCAGTAGGTAATATAAGCTTTTGCAATGTGTTAGGCACCCATTTTGCATGTGATATGTGATAGAAATACTCTTATACTGTAGGGGGGGAAACCAGCGATAGTAGAGAAGAGAAAGAGTATACCTGCAAAATAAATCTGGGGTTATATATTTTTTTTTAGGCAGATGTGTTCTCATATGGGATCATCCTTTGTGAGATTATTGCAAGGATCCAGGCAGACCCAGACTATCTCCCACGAACAGAGGTGAGCAAAGTTCACTGATAAGGATTATCAAGGGGAAAAAACTAGTTACACGGGTCATTAATTTCCATAGAGTTGCCAAATGGGCTATAAAAGTTGCAATAAAACATTAATCCTTTGTTACATTTATATGCCAAGCTTGGCACAGAATGCTGTTCCCTCTCTCCTCTCCCTTCCTCATTTAGAGTACATAATTATCCTTGCATAATATTGGACTGAATATTGTATTAATCAGCCACTTTTCAAGAGATTAACTGTCGTAATACCAAAGACGTTTCTATGGCTCCTTCATTCATGAGAAGAGGGCAGTCTGATCAGGACATTTTCTTCTTTTGATTAGATCTCACCCACATCTTTTTGCCTTTTCACAGATCATTATGAAAAGGTGGCTATTTTGTTCATACCATATCATCATTTATTTGCTTTACATCAACACTGTTTTTAAAGTACTTTTTTTCCTCTTTTATAAACAGCATATTATTTTGAAGTTAGGTTATGCTTGAGAAATATATGCATTAGGAATCTTGAAAAATATTAAAGTGAAAAAAACTCTAGCTCGATGAGAGAACACTACTTTTGTGTTTGAAAATTCCAAGCCCAGTAAAAAGAATTAGATAGCAGTTGACATAAAAGGTCTGTTTTAATACTCTTGAGAGTTGCTTCCAAAATAAATGGACAAAATTGGCTAATGTAGGGCACATTTCTGTGAAATATTATGTAGGTGAAATATGGAGATATTCTTAAGAATCATCTTTAAGAAAACTAGCAATGTTGTAAGTAGTCTGCACTAAAGTTATTACAAAACTATTTTCATAAGTGGTTTATGATATCATTGCATCACAAAGTGACTGTGCAGATTGTTTCTACATTGTAATATGATATTGGCCAAGTACTAGGTACTGTATAGTAGTGCTTTCTTTTGTAAATGCATTTCATGTTAGACTTCGTGACGGCTAAGTTTCTTGGTGTAGACACATTTATAAATTTCTCTATACAGTAGTGGCCAAAATTGTGGAAAACTTTTGGGAAAAGTGTACAGTAGAAATGCCACTTTTGGTTAAGTTTCCACCAATTTGTCTTCTAATTTCTTTATAACTGTAGCCTTGTTCACTTAATAATACTATTTTACATTGCTTTCTGGGTGACCAGTCAACTCTTTGCATCATTACTTTAATTTTATTACGTTTTACAAGCTCACTAAATGAAAGAACACAAAAAAACCCAACCAACTTAATAGCGATCACATAACACACTGACAAATGTCCTCCTCTCAGCTTCAATACATGACATCAATAACTGAATCCTACTGTGGGCTGATTGGCTCATTGTCAAAACAAGATGACACCCAATTGCTCTCTAAACACTCATGCTCATTGGCTACAATCAGATGAAGGAAAGCTACCTGATATCAACCTAAGCAAGTTGTGCTTCCTTTTTCTGGTTATTTGGCTATAACTTTTCATACAGTAGAATACAGTACAGATAATTGAACAAACTGTTGCATTACATTCTTGATTAAATTATCTTTCCGTTGATACATAAGTTTATGGTACTACTCCAAAAAAAAAAGTGGTGTTATTAGCCATCAAACCTCAAATGTACACTTTTCCCAAAAGGTTTCCACAATTTTGGCCACTACTGTATATCTCATCTTTCACAGTTCTAAATGTTAGACTATATTGGAGGAGTTAACTTGGACTATGGGATTGAAACTATTATCTCTTAGAATACTTTCTCTTATACTATAACTCCAAATGTATTTTTAAAAAGCTGAATTGGTGCTGTGTTTCCAACATTCAAAGAGCTGAGTGTTCTGCATAGACAGAAAGGGAAACATTTATTTTCTCTGTACTAGTTTTAGTTTCAGAACTGAGTCCCGAATAAATGCAGTAGCACTCTGGGCTGCTTTTTCTCTTTCCCTCCATTCAGCATGGTGCATCTACAGTATCTGAGCTATGTACAGGCTGAAGATGTTTCAGTACATGCTGTAGAAATAATCTAATGGTTTACCAGCAAACTAATATACTTATGGAAGTTTTAGAATCATAAAATGTAGTATTAAATCAGTCCTTGGAATTTTGCTGGTTAATATGTAGATTCGGATAGGGAAGAAGGACAGGCTGCTCCATTGTTCAGCCACACAACATGATCCTTGAAGCAGCTGCCATTTTCCTAGCAGCTGCATTGAATTCTGGCTGTTCAGAAACTGGCAGCTGCTTCTGAGATCAAGCTGCATGTTTCTCAGTGTTTCTTAGCAATTCTGTACCATGTGGACTTCAACTCCCAGAATTCCCCACCCAGCGTTGCTCCTTTGCTTGAATTCTGGGAGTTGAAGTCCACACATATCTTAGAGTTGCAAGGTTGAGAAATGCTGATCTAGATAGTCAGCAATCAAGCCGAGTAATGAGAAGGATGGAACAATATTACATTGGATTCAGAAAGTATTGTTAGGCCAACGAAGGAGGACAAAATAACATCAGCATCTCTTTGTCCAGTCCACAGAAGTACTGACCCAGAGCTCAGGAGGAGAATTAAGTTCTATATCTTTTATGTTTTATCTTTTAACCCTTGTAATTTCCCCACTGCTTTCTTTAATACATGTTTGTTTTATTTAGATATTAACAGAGCATTTTTCTTTTTTCATGTAGAATTTTGGACTGGATTATGATGCCTTTCAGCACATGGTGGGGGATTGTCCTCCCAACTTTCTCCAGTTAGCCTTCAATTGCTGCAACGTCAGTATCCTCAAAAAAAAATTATAATCCCAGCTTATGTTAAATGTAAAAATACAATGCTGAATGAATTGGGAGGTTTTGTAGCTCAGAAATTATGAAGTGTTTTGAAGGCCAAATATGAATGATTTGTATGAATTAGTTTATAACATTTGTTACTTATGTGTAGATTTGGTATAAAAATGAGCAAAGAATATAAAGTAAGGATATAAAAAGCTATCACTATACTTCTTTCCTATATTATATTAGACAAGGTTTTATGAAAATGAAGCATCCAGCAAATTTTCTTTTATAGAGTGTTTCTATATTTGCATGTGCACAAAATGTTAATGATAAAACATTTTTATATTGGTAGAATACAGATAGTCCACAACTCATAACCATAATGGAGATTGCCCATTATGGTCAGAAGTTGCGACAGCTGTTGAGTGAAGCAGCCACATGACTGCCTCAGTTACAAACCCCCATCCCTGCTCTTCTCAATGTAGTCATTAAATGAACATGCGAGTCATTGAGTGGAGCATGGGTTGCCTCTGAGGCTAGTGCAGGCCCTTTCCTTGACCGCCCAAGGCATCTTTCACCCCTCAGGTACTCGTTGCTTTGCTTCCCACCCCTCAGGTCCCTGTAGGCCCCCACCAGACCCACACCCTCCTCTTCACACCATGTCACCCATCACACACTTATCTTTTGAAATGCTCTAGAGCTCATTTTAGGAAAGCAAAGCAAGCCACTCCATTGCTGGGCCATGCAGAGTGATTCCGGAAGCAACTGCCAATTTCTGAGCAGCCAGAATTCAATGCAGCTGCTAGGAAAATGGAAGCTGCTTCAAGGATCATGTTGCATAGTCCAACAACAGAGTGGGCTGTCCTTCTTCCCTAACCCAAGCTTCAGAGCTCCGGAGAGCTTTGAAATAGAAGTGGCAAAGGTTGATGCAAGATGAGGAGGAAGATGTGGTGGAAAGCAGGGGGCGTTCAGATAACAGATATTTCATCATTCAGTCATAAAGGCAAAAGACTTTTGGGGGGGCGCTGCAGCAGCTGTAACTTAGGGACTAGATTGTAAGTAGCTTTTGGGGGGGGTCAGCTTCAAATTGTTGCTAAGCAATCGGTCATAAGTTGAGGACTAACTGTGACATAGAAGCATAGATTTTGTGTTATGTGTTTAATTTAGCATTTATTCTTATCTTAGATGGACCCAAAGTTACGCCCTTCATTTACTGATATTGTCAAAACACTGGAGGAAATTCTGAGCAATTTGAAAAGAGAAGAAGATGAAAGAGAAAGGAAGCTACTAAATCTGGATATTACAGATCGAAAACCCATATCTGTTTCCAAAGGTAGGATCAAACAATATGATCATAAAACTAGCCAGCTTGCCAAGCAAACATTAAATATTTTATGTTAATGAATTGTGTTTTTATTTATAAGTAGGAGCCATTGTATTTATAATATTCTAACAAAGTCTAACTAAATATAATCATATATTGAATAAGAGTTAATTTACTTGTAAAAGTAAAAGTTTAATTGGAAATACAATTTGATGTTCACAGTATATCAGATTTAGTCCACAGATATATTTGTTGGACACATAGTTTCTTAAGTCACTCTGATAGGTTAGAATTTAATTTTGATGTTGTTGTTCATGTTAACTTGAGGGAGATACATAAACATTAGTCTAGACCAGGGGTAGGCAACCTCGGCTCTTTTATGACTCGTGGACTTCAACTCCCAGAATTCCTGAGTCAGCACAGCTGACTCAGGAATTCTGGGAGTTGAAGTCCACGAGTCATAAAAGAGCCGAGGTTGCCTACCCCTGGTCTAGACTATCTGCATTGTGAACCATGGTAGGCAACCTAGGGCAACCATAGAAAAAGCTAGCTTTCTAGTCTTTCCTCCACAGACTTTATAATGAAAGGCAAGAATCTACAACATTCCTTCCAACCTCAAATGTATAGGATTGGCATATTTGGAGAAGATGGCCCAAATCAGATTTCTAAATAGATAGACTCAGAGTTTACGACATTTTCTCATGAAAGAGAGGCTTTCCACTTCAGAAGCAGTCTCAGAACTTTTCTCCCCCCCCCCCCTGAAAAATGGTCAACTCTCACATTAGGGTTAATGGGAATCATGTGAAAGGGACTCAATTGGCATGCATGGTATGAAATTGTTGTAATCACAAGTGTCCCAGTTTATCATTATATCCCCAACAGTGGAAGAACAGCTCCTGAAGCCTTGAACATTTTTTTTTGAACAAAAATGGTGAGAAAAGTTAGCAACACCATTCCTCTCTGATCATTTCTCTCCTAATATGCTGCCAGCAGATTAGGAATATCACATAGATTTTAACAAATAGAATTACCCTACCTGTAGTATAAGGTAATCTTGTATTAAACACAATAAAATGGTTGTATTAGAGCAAGGGTGTCAAACTCGCAACAGTATCGTGACTTTTTTTCCATTGTCGGCAATGGGGTCGGCACGATTTCACCATGACGCATCTGGCCTGTGGGGGAAAAAAAAAAAGGTTCAATCAACCAGTCAATTTCAACTTCTCGCGGGAAAAAAAATATCTTGCAAAGTTGGGATTGATTGATTGAACTTTTTAGCCGCACCCACTCTTACCACCGCAGCCACGCCCAGCCAATGGGCCACACCACCCAATGGGCCACACCCACCTGGCACCCAACGATGCATAAGTAGGGTTTGGATTGCAGTTTGGGCACTCGGTCTCTAAAAGGTTCGCCATCACTGATCTAGGGGACAAATTACCATTCCCATCATTTCATTTACCTGATTCAAGTAGTCCTCATTTAGCAACCACAATTGGGATTGGCAACTTCATCGTTAAGCAAAGTGAAACCGTGACTGTGTTTATGATCTTACTTTAGCTTTCCTTTAACTTTACAGACCCGTGAAGATTATAAACACAAGAATTGATCATAAAGTTAGGTTTTTATCTCTGTTGTAACTGAATGGTTACTATATGAGATAGTTGCTAAATGAGGACTATCTGTCCCACAAAAACTGCTGATTTTGGCTTCCAGAGGGAAGAATGGAATAGGAGCGTGAAGTTTCCAGGAGGCAAAATGGTACTATTCCCACCCTTAAATTATCCAAATCAGAATGTTCCAAGGTTTTGATGGCATGATCTTGAGATCCTGTAGGCTATATACACTGGTTATCCATTCTTGTTTTAAAGTATCACTTTGGTGTCTGTTATGCTTAGGAAAATGTAAACATAAACTCAAATATCTTAAAGGAAAAGGATTTTTTTTGTAATATAGCTAAACACTTTCCATCTGACCTTAATATTTATAGCTGCTTTGTTTAGTGACTTTTTATTTAAATGTATTTAACAGATTTTTCCCCCAAGCTCAAATGCTGTGTATCCTAGTTTCTACATTGGACAATGTGCTGTTTCAAGGCTGATGTGGAAAATAACCACTTCCACAGGGAAGTATTATTGTTTGCCTGCCCTTTTCACAGCATAGGGGTGTCTTTTTGCTCCAGGGAAACCTCACTTCTGGAAACTATTGTCATTAATAGCATGGAATGTGCCATACTTAATTAAAAGGGGAGTGTCCTCTTTAACTTTCACTCTTGGGAAGACTTTTAGGGTATACAAATAATTGGAAGAATATATTTTTGTCATATTAGCTATTTCTAAATAAGTCTATGCATTTGAGGGATAGAAGACATATAGAAGAGTATAAAGACAAAATTTAACAACATGCAATAGATTCCATTCTCTGTCTATAGAAATCGCTTATACAAAATGTATTTGAGATTGGAAAAAAGAAGAGCTTTATGAGAATTTGTAGACTTCCTAAGGGTGTATGGTTGTGGAGGATATGAGAACAGCACATATATATTGATTATCTCTCCCTGTGCGTGTATATGAGTCTAGATTTGTCACTGAGGTAATGTGTGGATTTAAATCTGATTTTATTTTTTTAGGATTGCTAGAGAGGGGACAAGGTATCAAAAGGCTGAGCTCATTGGATGACAAGATTCCACCTAAATCACCCCGGCCACGGCGCAACATCTGGCTATCACGCAGTCAGTCAGACATCTTCTCTCGGAAACCTTCCCGCAAGATAAATGTTCAGGATCCATATTATACACCAAGCAAAGGGGCGAGTCGAAAAGTCAATCCCTTCAATTCTAGGGAAGACTTGAAAGGGGGGAAGATAAAATTTTTTGACATGCCTAGCAAATCCGTGATATCTCTTGTATTTGACCTGCACTCTCCAGAAGCAAGAGGGTGTCTAAAGATGAGCCAGCCGCTATTCAAGCACACCTGTGCCTGTGACTGGCAAGACTCTTCTTTCCTTCCTGGGAGGAGAAGCAGATCACTTCCAGTTTCTCCTGAATTTGGTCGTAAAGATTATAGCGCATTTGGAGATCTCTCTTCAACAGTCAGTAGCTGTGATCCCGCGCAGCTAGGGGCTGAGGTGCGCCAGAGGCTACTATGCAGTAGTAAGTATGGTGTATCTGAGATCCCTCCTTTTCAGGTTAAACAATGCAGGCAGGACTCTCATCCTCTGCTTCTGCAAGAGGAGGAAATGGATTGTTCGGATGAACTGGAGTCTCTAAACAAAAATGGGTATTCTGTAAAATGTTCAGCTGAACAGCCAGAACTTGGGAAGCCTGAGGGACAAGTGCTGCAAATCACTCCTGGCCAAGTGGCTAATACCTTAGTAGACAATTTAGACTACCCAGAAAATCAATTCCCAGAAATGTTCATGAGCTATGCCACCTCTGAAGAAATGGAGGTGGAAGATGAAACTCAAAGGAATATGCTTTCCACTAAATTGGAATCTTCTAAACGGTTGCTCAGTATTAATCCTTCCTCACAGCATGGCAGAGACTCCGGCTTCCTTGAAGTGGTGGACAGTGACACTTCAAATGTTTCTCTGCTGCCTTCAGACACACCGGCATCAATAAGTGGACAGCCAAAATGTGACATTTAAAAACCAGCCATTGGATGATTATGATGATACACTCCTAACTATGGTTTTAACTTCCTGTGTCAAATGTCTCTAAAACAGTATAGAAATGTAACCAGTCCATTTGAAAATTCTAAAATGTATTATGAGAGATCGTATGCATGCAAGGGTGCGTGAAAAGAGTTCTCAGCATACCTCAGGAAGAAGCTAATATAGGAATAAGGTTTGCTGTTGAATGCCTGATTCATGCAGGGTCACAGTTATAGAGATAGTGAGATTATGGGCATCTCTCCATGCTTCTATTTGTGTTATTCATACCGTTTACGTTCTGTTAAATGTTTTTTTTTTTAAAAAAAAAAACATAGTGTCTCTTTGAACCTTCAAAATCTTTGTCTCATTAGCAGTAAAAATGCTGAGCAGCAATAAATATTTATGTGGAAAATATTTAAAATAACAAGTATCCTGAGTCAGGTGCAGACTGTCCTGGACTAGTCTTACTTACCCTGGCCAACTTTCAAATATGAATTTCAAATCCCAGTATTCTGAACAATGTCCATTGTTGGAATATTCTGGGAATAGAAGTTTATACTTGAGGTTGCTTAAGGTTAAGGGCAGTTGATTTAGATATTACTGGACTACAACCACAACTGTTCTGGCCATTAACAAGGGCTGATGAGTTGGAGTCCATTATTATCGCAGGTAGCTCAAAAACACGTACAAGACTTTTTGTCATGGGAATTTCAGTTTCAAAATCAGCTATTCTGGAAGTAGTTCAACATATCAAACCATTTCTACAATACTCAAAAAAACCTTGGTCCATGATTGGATGAAATCACTTTTGGATTGATTCATTTCTAGAATATCCTATTTTGGATCAACCAAAATAGAATGTTTTGCAATGATACTTCCCCACTCTTGCTGTAAATGAACAGGAGGAATATGACTCCGAATTCTATAAAAATTATTAAATAAGTTGAGATTTGGCTACAATAGCTTCCTTACCTTTTCCAGTCCAGTTGCAAACAGTGGAGGCACTGAGCACATTCCTACTTCAGGCATTCCTTGTTAAATTATTAGTTGCTTGTCCAGGTTTTATTTGCTGGTAAGGAAATTTTCCATCAGCCATTTTACTGAAGGAACAGCAAAGTTCCTTTTTTGAATAAATTGTTCATGAAACAAAATGAGATGAATATTTTTATCTCTTCAGTAACCCCATTCCCTTTATTGTAGAAGCATGAAACGTATGACCATCAAATGTTTGGCATGGAAGAACTCTCTTCAACATATTTTAAAAATCCAGTTTTGCATACATATCTTCAATTAGTCTATGTGCTTCACTCACATTGAAACATGGTCTATGTGTACAATTTATATAAATTCTGTAGATAAGTTGCTTGAAATTTCTCAGATGGAAAGTGAATTTTAAAGTGTAGCTACAGAAATAGCACATCCAGACCAGCATTACATGCTCGGAACTTAATAGGAGTTAATATAGATTATATAAAAAGGATTAAACTCCCAAATCTTGCCTCTAGTTAGAATACACTTGAAATTAGTTCTGGTGAACATAATTTCCTCATGTTCATTCCTCAAAACTGAACTATAGAAAGGGCAAATACTCACAAAATATGAAGCAATAAAAGCAGGGTCATAAATATTGAGCAGACCAGTTTTGCAAGCTATGTTTGTTTATAGAAGTTGGTGACAGCCTCAAGCTGGAGAACAAAATTGTCTTCTCAATTATTCATTTGAAAATTTCTAAAGTAGCACCATATTCCAGTTCAATTGTTTCCTCTTTCAGAATTAGTGATAAAGAATCCCAGTAGTTATTATCAGGCTGCTTTATTTAAACAGTTAAAAAGTATAACCACTTTAACAGGTGGCACGATTTTAAATTTGGTATCATTTTCCTCCATCCCATCCAAAGCAAAACAATTGAATGTAACTTATGCTCAGCTCTGGAAAGCACCAAGCATGCAATGTGTCTCAGAAACTATTCCACTCCTTCGCCCACATTAGTTTATAACTTGCTCTGCAGATTCCATTCTTGTAGCCTTTCAATATCTCACTTTTACTGCTTTTGAAGGCTAGATGTGACAAATTACTTCCATTCTGGTCACATTCCCCCACCCCTTTGTGTATTTTCCTGGGTTTTTTTATAGACTCGTAAGAAATGGTACCCTCTCTTATTAATGGGATAATGGATTCCTACTGCAGTTGCTCTGCCTTCTTGGTAGAGTGTTAGTGATAACCTAGGTCCTTGATGCAAAAGTAAGTCTTTCTAGACTGCCATTTAACAAAAGTTGGCTTCATAGGAGCTTGAGAAAGCAAACTACAAAGTTATTGGAACAGAAAAGTAACCTGTCATCTTATACAACATGTAAACACTATTATCACATTCTTTGGGTACACCAGGGGTCTTCAACCTTGGCAACATTAAGACTTGTGGACTTCCAACTCCCAGCAAAGCTGGCTGAGGAATTCTGGGAGTTGAAATCCACAAGTCATAAAAGGGCCAGGTTTGAAGACCCCTGGGGTACCTCATGGAAAGTCAGCATTGAGGAGCAGCTATGGGCCATCATCTGTATTCTATACAGAATGTGGCCAAATGAATGCATAATTTGTACAAACAGAACAATGCTAGATGGTTTTGCTTTTCAGCATGTTTGATTTGCTAACAAAGATGCGTATTGCTTTTGACAAGCCACCTGAAAACACTTGTAAGATCCTCAGTCGATTTTTAATTCATTAATTTTATCTAAATTACATTTAATAAGCATATCAGAGGATATTCATGTGGCCAACTGATGAAAGACTGTGAATACATGTAATGTAACAAATTGATGCCGGAGTAGAAAAAAAGTGTACTATGGATTCTTGGTTGCTGGATCTTGTCCAAGAACACTGGTATTTCTTGCCAGTTTAACTAGACACTTGAATAATTCCTCTTTGCACTTAATGCTGCTGTTTATACTGCATGTCACTACATTTCTATGCAAAAATAACCTTTGAGGTAGCCAAATATTTGATTTAAGGTTTATAGATCTTTATAAGATCTATTTTCATATTTATGAAGGAATTTTATGTCTTAATATTTGCTGTCTGTAAATAGCTAAATTTTGTCATTAAAGCTTAGGAAAAAAAATTTATAGCATGATGTGTATAATTTAACACTGCCAGGAAAAGGATTTTTGAAAAAGCAGTTTTTTAATACTTTAGATATTTATGAATGTTTAAAGAAAACAAATCTTAGAATTACATAAGCAGTATGTTTCACTGGAACTAAAAAAAATAACCAAAGATAAACGTAGTTTAAAATATCTGCAAATTTTCTTTATAGAAAATGGTTTTTGTAAACCATTCCCCAGTTCAGTCAGAAGAAAAACAAATATGTTTTTGTGGTTGAGAAGACAAAACTTATGAAGCAAAGGAGCAATATAAAATGGCTCCAAACAATTTCTGGGAAACACCCATTCTGATTTAATATTCACACATTCCAGTATTTTGTTGTGCAAGTGATAACGTTTTTTTCTGTTACAGTCAGATTCCAGGAGAGTCTTTGTCTCATTCCAGAAGGAATTCCTTATTGTGCTTTCACTTTTTCAGATTTTCAATTGTGTATTCACCAAAAATTAATGCTGGTGGTAGATTATCCTAACATTTGTTTCTAGACAAGACACATCATATTTCATAGTGTGTAAGCTGCAGTTACCTTATATTAAAAAGATAGTAACTGGAGCCAATGTCATGTTAGTAAGTTAAATGCTTTCATATAACAAGTAATGGGACAGTTGTCCTGTTGAGGCATTTGCATTTGTGCTACAGATCAGTGCTCTATTAATTTGGATATTTCTATTTTCTAAGTAATCTATGTATCCATCTTGAAGTTTTCAAGTTAATTGCATTAATGAAGGACAGAATTACCAATCAACTTTCACTAAATGATTGAAAGTTCTTTTTAAGCAAAAATTTCTTCTTGCTCTTTAAGTTATTTATCTTACTTAACAACTGCCCATCTCCTTCACAGAGGAACTCTGGGCAGTGTACAATAAAATCTACTCACCATTTTTAACCTGCCACCTCATTTCTATACCTCCTTAAAGGAAAACAGAGTAAAACAATCTAAATGCTTTCATTTTTCTTATACCAAAAAACAGCTCTTGATTTCACATTTAACAGTTATCCTTCAAATATCAAATATGTTTGGAATATAGATGGATATAAAATTATAGTTTTATTCAATTCCTGTGAAAGTATAAATAATAAAATTTGTAAGTATTAACATTTATATAAAATTTGTGTGCTACTGCTGCATCACTTTACATTGATTTCAAATTTTGTCATTTTGCTGTCCATCCCCACATGTTGATAACATCTGGCTAGAGCTCTTCAGTTAGCTCAGTGGTTCTCAACCTGTGGGTCGGGACCCCATTTGGGGTCGATCGACCATTTCACGGGGGTCGCCAAGCAAGGCTGTCCACCATTTTTTTTGTCTGCCATTTTTTTTGTCCGCCATTTTTCCCCCTTTTCCGGCGGGTGCCTTACCTCCCTTGAGCTGGGCCAGCTGGTGGTCGGCCTGCTCCGTCTCTGCCGCTTGCCAGCTACGCTTCGGCCGGCGCAGGGGGCAGAACCACGCATGTGTGGCACTCCCGGGCAGGGAAAGTCCTCGACTTACGACCGGTTGGGTAGTCCTCGACTTATGACCGGTTTAGTCCTCGACTTACGACCTGTTGGGGTCGCGGTATTAAAAAGGTTGAGAACCACTGAGTTAGCTTGAGTTTTCGTTTCTCTAGCTTGGTATTAATGACAAGCTTTAGCTACTTCATTGCTCTCCCCAGCAACAGCTTTTAATAAGTTGAACGTTATTGACCCCAATAAAGCTGTTATCAAATAATGCTTTCCAGCAATGTATCTGGAACAGATAAGACTAATAAAAGAATCATTATTTAGCTTCCAAGAGATCTCATTACTGTTTTGTTGTGTGTAACTGGAATACATAACTTCACGATCTGTATTACAAAAAGACTTGCGACAATAAATTAACAGCTAAAAAGCTTCCAGTCTGTCAAATATTTTGATACAAAAAGCTAAACATTATTTAATAAGCAAAACACCAATATTTTATTTCAACAAAGATTGGTGATGGTACAGAAGAAAAATATCCCTTTGAATAATTATACTAGAATGGGACTGGGAGCCTATGACCTTCCAGATGTTGATTTGTAACTCTATCCTGCATTACTGTTTTTTTTCAACAGAAAGCTTAATTTGCATTTGGAAAATAAGACTGCAATAGAACTGTAAAAAAAAATTAAGCATTTTGGCTTTAATTCCTTATTTT